ATTTTATTAGGGGCTCATACAACTGTTATCCCAATCCATACACACATCAATTGTGTAAAGTGCATTTGTACATCGTTTCTCAATGCTGCTTTCTACAGGGCTCCCACTCCCTTGCTCCCCAAGGTGCTTAACTCAAACTCAAACAAGCAAGCACTGCCCCCCTGGAACGTGGAGCCTTCTGGCAGGCTGCCTACACCTCACTACTGGCTTTCTTTATCTTGAATAGCCCCTGCTGGCTCTGAACATCACCCCAAGTTCAAAGGGAATGTGTCCTTCAAAGCAGAGGTGGGTGACACAAGAGGCATCGAGCGGAGCCTCACTCAAGACAAGTCAGGGACCCCACTCATCAAATACCAGCAGCAAGACCACGCCAGGTGTGCTCCGGGCCCGGGCACAGAAAGTCTTTAGGCAGACTGTGGGGCTCAGCCACTCATGGGGCTGTGGGTGAGGGACTGAGATGCAGTAGGGTTTTCCTACCCTGCTGAGCCTGCTGGGATCCCTGGCACTCAGGGCCCCAGTCAGGAGAAACCAAAGCAGGGTCAGCAAATGGACATGGCCCTGGAGTGGGGTCAGTGGCCTGAATGACATCAGTGGTGGGGGGTAGGGAGGGATGGCTCTTGCCTGAGTGTCCAAGCATGGCCCACACGGCCCTTCCAAGGATTGCCCCCCTCAGGGCAGGTGGGGCAACAGAATGTTCTCCATGAAGACATCCGTGAGGGTGGAGGATGAGTAAGGAGCCATTCTCTCCCTCCAGGACAGTTTCTCCTATACTCAGGTGGCTTCTGCTGTGGTCAGGACAGGGCCCCAACTGTTTGTGGTGGTCCTAAGGGTCGGTCAGAGATGGAGGTCATACTTACGTGGAGAGGACTTCGGAGGGAAGGTCAGTGATGTACGATGGGATCTTTCTCCCGGTCAGGAACTGTGCCACTTCATTGCTGAAGGTGTTGCAGTTGTGTTCAAAGAGGTTATAAGCCTCCCCTCTGTACCGTGTGAGACAAGTTTGGAGACGGGAAGTAAGCTAGCAAGCAAATCTCTACGTGCGACCAACATGCACCCCGGCAACAGAGTGGCCAGAACGCTGCCTTTGGGAATGGCAATTTCCCATTTCTCTTTTCCTCCAAAATTTGGTGTGGTGGGCTGGGGGGGTGGGGGTGGGAAGTGAGACGCCTGTTGGCGGGAAGAGCTGCAGCACAGCGAGCTTGCTCGGAGATGAAGGTCGTGGCTGCAGAGTGAGCCCTGTGAGTAGGGCTGAACCGCTGGGCATCAAGGGAGGTTCCTGGAGAGAAGATCTGCTCAGCTCTGTACCTTGCCTGCCCCTTCTCACACTCGGCTTCCGAGTTTAGTGGCTCCGCATTGGCAGATCAGGAAGAACGCTGAGCGCCAGGACCATTTGGGCTCTACCTGGGACCCCAGAGCTGCCTCCCCTTCAGGGACCCTCAGCAGATCCTGGACCAGGCCTGGGCACTGACATGGTGGCCGCCACATGGAAGCCCCACCCTCTCTGCCTGACCCCACTCACCGGAACAGAGACTCTCCCAGGGAAGACAGGTACTCCAGGAAGATTTCTTCGGTGACTTCTGTGCTCCCCACATCCACCACTGAGTCTGGGGGCCCAAGCAATGTCCCGCCCTAAAGAGCCAATCCAAAGGAAGTCATTACGTCATCCATCTTTTAAACGCGGCACCTCCTGGTCACTTCTCTTTAGACTCTCCGAGTAGCCTGGGGTGAAGAGTGTCGCTTCCCCTTTGTCTGGCGTCCACAGAGGCTGAGAGCTTTCTGGAGACTACTGCCACGTGCCGGCAGCGTGGCTGCAAATTCGGGCTTCTCGCTCTTGGTGGCGCCCTAGGAGCGGAGTTTCTTATAGGTCTGACAGTGTCTTACCCTGTCCAACCCCTCAGCTGATTAAAAGGAGCCCGGGATGTGGCCTCCTTTGGCCCCCAACATGCTCATGAGGGCAGATCGGGCCAGGAGAACTGGCTCACCCGCAGAGGCCATCTCACCACTCACTGGGTGTGCAGGCAGGCACATTTTCTTTGTGACACACCACACAGCCTTTGTGACAATGGGGGGACGCGGGGAGGGGGGGGACCGTAAAACATTGGTCGACTGGCAAATATTTCTATAATTCAATTCTTTTTGACTTGTGAGGCCAATCTACTGGTGCTGGTGACGGGCTTCCCAGGCAAGGCATTAACAGACCCTGGCAGGTCTGTAGGAGAAGCTCCTCAACATACTTTGAAGTAAGTTTTCAGGGGGAAAAAAAAATTACTCAACACACACACACACACACACACACACACACACACACACACCACCACCCCCACCCCCAGGCAAAGGTAGGTCTGGTGTGCAGTCCTCCGCATTTCCAGCACCCTCAGAGGGCAGCACGCGGGTCTATGGGAACCTTTAGCCCTGGAGAAAGCAGCCATTGGGAAAACCACAGGAGTCCCGGAAAGGGGCCAAGGAAAGAACAGTGCACCACTGAGCGCCCTGCCTAGATCATCGGCCACACTTCAGTCATTACGGAGCACCTACGATACACTGGGCTTTGTTGGAGGCATTTGTATAGTCAGAGCATAATTAGTTCAGAGTTGCAAGGTCACTATTTGACTCCGCTATTTACGCATGGCGCAGACACATACTAAGAGCTCACTCTGTACTGGGTCCTTTATGCTCGGGGCTGGGGATGAAATGTGGACAAAACAGATGAGATTTTGGCTCCTCATGAGGAAGGCAGATAAAACAGCCCCCCCCCCAAATCCCACAAACGAATATATAAATTCCATAAGTGCTTTTCTAGAAAGTAAAGAAATGCCATGACTATATGGGACAGGGGACCTGCTGCCCGAGGGGTCAGGGAAGACTTGCCTATGAAAGTGACATTGAGTCAGATCTGAAGGACAAGGAAACAGTAACCAGGCGGAGGAGCAGGGAGGTGTTCTGATGTCAGACCCAGGGGTAAGCGTCCAGGTGTGTGTGTTCAAGGTGGAGAAGGTGAGCCAGGGAAGGCAGAACCTGACAAGAGATCAGCCAGCGAGCGGGGCAGCCCAGATCAGGGAAGGACGTGGAGGCCACGCTGAGCTTTCTGGGTTTTGACCCCGGAGCGATGGCAATAAGCAGGGGAGGACCATGCCCAGGCTTTCCTCTGAAGAGGTCGCTTGGAACTCCCTCCTCAGACTGACTGCAGAGGAAGAGGAGTTGCTGGGAGACCAGGAGCCGTGGCCCAGGCAGGAGGGGAGGGTGGCCAGGGTTAAGGAGAAAGTTCTGGGGAGATGGGAAGAAATGGAGACACAGGTGGACTTAAGGCACATATACAACGTGGAGCTCACCAGGTTTAATGAAGGGCTTGCGATAGGCTGACAGTCCTCAGACAGTGTTTTGGAGAGGGGGGTGGGTCCTAAAGAAACCTAAGTTCTACTACTAATGATACTTACTGGCTGTGTAACGAGGGCCAACTCACTCTACCTCTGGGAACCCTTATCCTTCAGCTTGCCCCTGGCTGTGATCCTACTATGAGCCAGTCCCTGGGCTGATGGGGGGCTTACAATCTGTGTATAGCCAGTTCCCAGTGGAGGCAGAAACACTCAGATTTCTCAATATGAGAAAGAGGGACCCACAGGTGTGTGGGAGCAGAGAACACCTGACTGGCAAGGGGCCAGAGCTGAGAGCCTTAAGGTTGTTCCCAGGAAAGCTTCCACACCCAGGCTAGAAGGCAGAGGGCAGACAGGAGCCTCAGAGCACCTGATCTCCTGGTCTACCCCCAAGACCCTGCAGCTACAGGTCAGGCAGGGTGTGCGGGAAGGCACTCACCGGGGGACAGCTGGAGATGCCGCCACTGCCGAAGAAGAATTCATCCCTGTGCACCACTATGGAGGTATGCCTGCCACACAAAGAACACACAAAATGAGCCAGAACACTTAAAACTGCTCAAGAGGAAAAACACAGCCACCACATTGCACTGAGCATAATTCCTGCCTGTGGCTATGACCGTGGGGAACAGCCTGAAAAAACGTCACCCACAAAGGCACACGTCGTAGGCCAGAGTGGACGCCATGGGCGCTCTGGGCAGATCACCTTTGCTAATGGGGGCTGCTCTGCAGTTTGGACCGCTGAGCAGCATCCGACCTTGCCTTATTAGGTGCCAGCAGCACCTGCTCGTGCGGTTGTGATGATCCAAACTGTCACCAGATGCTGCCAGTATCTCCTGGGGGTGTGGGGTGGGGCACAATCGCCTGCCTTGGTTCCGAACCACTGCTGGAGATGACTTAGGCAGCAGGGGGTGTCCCTGGGATATCCACCCTATCACTGACACATGGGTGACTGAAAAAGGGCTCTGCAGAGAGGGAGTGCGCTGAGGCTCTAAAGCGCAAGTGGGCAGTTCACCTGGGCCATGCTGAGGGGCAGACCAGACGATGCCAAGTGTGGGGAGCTATTCCTCGGTCCCAGTCAACCAGAGTGAAGGGTCATTCTGCTCAACCCAAATGGCAGCAGTGTCTAGGAGCCCAGAAGGGTCACCTGTTCACCGATGGTTTCCTCCTACATGGAGCTCCGTGAGCACGCTGGAGGAAAGAGGGTAGCACTGGGAGATCAAGGGGTCTTTGGCTTTAAGACAGCAGTGAGGGCCCTCAAGACACCTGTGCTTAGAAAGCTTAGTCTGTGGGGTGAACACGGCAGGGTTTCTCAATGTTGGCATGGATGACATTGGGGGCTAGCTCATTCTTCATGGGGGGCATGTCCTGGGTGTTGTAGGATGCCTACAGCACCCCTGCTCACCACCCACCCAACAAAAATGCCTCTGGACATTGCCAAGTACCTATCTGCGGGCAAACCGGCCCCTGGCTGGGAATCATGGCTTTAGGGTGTGAAGATTTAAGACATGAAGAGGGGCATTTCAAGCCCCGGGATGAGAAATGCACAGTGGCACCGCTTTGCTTCCCAAGTCCAGAAATGCATGGTGGCACCGCTTTGCTTCCCAAGCCCATGGACTTCAGGAGCCCATTCGACTTACCAGATGCCTTCCAGCTGTTTCCCTGTGGAGAAAAGAAGAACATTAGGCCGGACTCCACGGGGCCGGGGCTGCTGTCCCACACAGTTAGGTCTAGAATGGACTGGGTTTGGCTTTTAGGTTTGGGTTCTGGGAGGACGGAGACTGGAGACTTGAGGACAGCAGTGCTCACTCAATCCCCTGGGGTTTTCTAGCTCCCCCACCCCCCCCAGCCATTTGCTGATTTGCTGACTTCCTGAGGAGGGACCAGCAGTGTCCCTCTCTGAGTGAGGTATGTTCTTTCTTGGTAAAATCAATACCAAGCCCTTTTGAGGACCTAAGTCAGCCTCATTTTCTTTGGAACTGGCTCCTTCATGACACCCTGCCGATGGCTCAAACCTCAAGACCAAACCAGTCATCCCTGCGTCGAGTCCTAGTGATAGCAGTCCCATATGCAGAGTAGAACCACACTCCATTTGACGTGGACTGCCAGGCTTTTCTTCTGAGGTGCCTCGCAGGGGGTTTGAAACACCAACTCAAATGTCTTCACTGTCGGCACCAGCCGGGTCTCCTACCCTGGTAGCTAGGCAGAGTGTTCTTGGAGAGGGTGTTAATGGACAGAATTGTGTACAGTCATGATAACGTATATAAAGCAACCCTAGTCTGAGGTGCACACTTAGTAGGTAAATGGCCTTTTGGGGAAAGGAATAAAGGTTTCAAAAAGAGAAATGAAAACTCTACCTCAGAATTGGAGGGTGTGGTAGTGTAAGAGCTATGAACCAGAAAAAAAGAAGAGCTAAGAACCAACGCAGCACCGAGTAAATGAGTCTAGAATGTCGTGTCTCTTTCACACAGGATGGCTTGTGTCTTCGATGTTGCAGTGAGATGTGACTGTGTTCTCCTTATTCTCCAATCCCAGACAGCAATCTGCTTTTCAAAATGAGACCTACTCTGGCCAATGATACAGAGACACAGACAGACAGCGTGTGCGCGGGAGCTCCTGGGGTGTCTCCTAGAGACCCTGGGGCAGGCTCTGTCCTCCAAACCGAGTCCAGAGAGGCAGCTCAGCACAAGACCAGGTGCTAAAAGGGAGTTGTTATCTATGTCAGGCAAGTACCTTCAAATTCTGGGCTTGACACATAAATTGTGTTGGATCCCCATCTCTTCCAGTGAACTATAAACAGCCAGGCTGTCTCCTCCTCCTGTCTGTTATGCATAACAAAGAGACTAAACTCACATTGCATTTAAAATATTCTAATGGCTTTTGTTGTTGAAAATATTTCAGTTCCAGTTTCTACAGGTACGACACAGTGATACTGATTCCACTGTTTGAGTTATGTATCCATTCTCACACTCCTTCTCTGAGTTGCTCCTCTTCCATAAACCTAAGTTCACTGCCCCTAACCTTCCTACCCTTCAAGTTGCTATTATAGACTTGATCTCCTATAGATGGATCTTAAAAGAATACAATGCTCAAGCCATTCTTTTACTAGTTAAATTAAACTACTGTTTGGTTTTAAGGGGATATTTTTGTTTAAGGTTTAAAACTGATCTCAGGATATTCAGTTAAGGGTTCATCACTCCAGCCTCCATGGGCCTAAAAATTCTGAAAGTTCATTAGAATTAAAATTTTTGTTTTACATTTCCCCCTTTTGATCAGGGTTCCTCTATGGAATTTTTAATCAAAATGTTCAGTAATTGACATTGCATTGTAAATGATGTCCATGTGCTTTTCTAAATGGCAGGATCTTATTTCCTTGAAATCATGTAATGATGCAGTGACACTAGACAGATTAGGGAGACAAAGTCTTTCCCATTCCCTTTGGGAGTGGCATTATACTCAGAAAAAAGGAGATGAGTGTAGTGAATAAGAGCACAGGTTCAGGTATGGCTAGGCCAAGTTTGAATCCTACCAGTTCAATCTATGGCTTAATCTACCAGTTTATCTATGGAGTGACCACTATGCTCGAGGCACTATTCAAGGCACTGGGCTGCCAATCGAAAACCCAGCAGTTCGAACCCACCTGCCACTGTATTGTAGGAAAGATCTAGCAACCTGCTATTTTAAAGATCACTGTCTAGTGAACCCTACGGGGCATTTCTATTCGGCCATATGGAGTAGCTAGAAGTCAGAGCTGGTTTTGCTGTACAACAATAACAACATTCTAGGCACTAGGGATACATTGATAAAACAAATGAGACAAAAAAAAATCTCCTTCATGGCACTTAAAGGGGTTGGTTAGAGAAATTTCCTTTATGGCACTTAAAGGTGTTAGTGAGAGATAGTCAATGAATAATAAGCAAAGCAAATCAGTAGCTCGTGTGTTAGCAATAACGACACATAGAAATAAAATGAGCAGGATAAAGGTATTTGGAGCTCAAAAGTGATTGGTGACCTTTGAGCAGAGACTTGCAGAAGGTGAGGGAGAGAACCAGGTGGAGGTGAGACCCACCCAGGGCATGTATGTGTGTACGTGCGTAGCTGTGAGGAAGTCAGTGTGAGTGAGTGAGGAGAGAGAAGTGAGAAATGAGCAGAGGTAACAGAGGACAGGCCATACCGAACTTGGAGAGGTTAAGAACTTGTCTAAGGCGTTGTTCAACTACTGACCACATGTGGCTACTTAAAATTAAGTAAAAATAAAAATTCAATCACTCAGCAGCAATAGCTGCATTTCAAGTGCTCATTAGCCACAGGTGACCAGTGGTTACTTATTGAGAGTGCTCACCTAGAACATTTCAATCAGCACAGGAAGGCCGATTGGGCAATGAATGCTACTTGAACGAACCGTAGTCTCCTATTCTGTATACTAACAGGGCTCACTTCATAACAGATTCAATATGTTGAGAGACAAGGCTTGAAACATGTGCAGCACAGGAGCGGGCACACAACCCACCCCAACAGTCGCCTTTATAATTTATGAGTCCGATGGCTGCGCTTCTGTTGCTGGTGCTGTCAGTTGCTATTGAGTCGGTTCCAGCTCCTGGTGCCCTCACGTGTGCCAAGCAGAACCGTGACCTGGAGGGTTCTCAAGGCTGCCACCTTTCGGAGGCAGATAGATCTCCAGACCTGTTTTCCCAGGTGCCTCTGGGTGGGTCTGAACTACCAACCTTCCTTATTAGTAGTCGAGCTTGTCATTGTTTCTACCAGCCAGGTAACTATGGCTGCTCTTAGAGTATCTTGTTATTGACCCAAACCCCCACTGCTGTCAAGTCCATTCTGCCTCGTGGTGACTCTCGCAGAGAATACAACTGCCTCAAAAGTTCCCATAGCAGCAGCAGACTGCCACACCTTTCTCTGGCAGGTTTGAACTGTCAACCTTCGGGTTAGCCACTGAGCACTTAATCACTGCACTACCAGGGCGCCTACCTATTTATGTACGTATCTGTCTTCCTCTCTAGACAATGGCCCGGCAGACAAGGACAGTTTCTTGCATATCTTTGTAACTCCAGCACCGGCTGCATCATTCAGTTTCATTGGCTGACACACACAGCTGCTGAGGCCAAAGTTCTTAACCCCATTCTTGGCCGCCTGGCTTGTTAGTCAGGTGACTCTGGAACCTGGCATACTGCATGCTGAGTCTCCTACTGTCCTCTCAGATGCCCACACCTAGTGACCCACGGGGAGAGCAGGCAGGAACAGATGTATAGGTCAACCTTAGCCTCCTAAGGTACTGGCATTTTGGAAAAGGGCTTCAGACACCACCTTGCCAGTTATTGGACACCTGAAAAACAACTCCAAAGCCACAGGATGTAAACCCTATAAGGTACATTGTATGATTTTATTCATGCACGCCATTATGCGGGACAATGGGAGAGAAAGTTCTCTTACTTATTCACTCTGCCATTCACCCCCCCACCCATTTATCACTTAATATGGATGGAGGGGACTGACATGCATTCTGAATTTAGAGCACTCACAGTGCACTTTAATCTCACGAGGCCTCTAAAGGGTAGGACGGGGCAGGTGTTTGTCGTGGCATTTTATAAGTGGGCACAGTTTACTCCACACACAAACAAGGCAAAGTGGAACATGAGGCTGAGCATGTTGAAGAAGCCTGGGTAGACATGTCAGGCAGCTGCTTTCTTTCTTTTAAAAAAATCATTTTATTCATTTACATTTTAATCATACAACTGTCACAATACATACATACATCAATTGTATAAAGAACATTTGTACATCCGTTACCCTTATCATTCTCAAAACATTTGCTCTCCACGTAAGCCCCTGGCATCAGCTCATTTCCCCCTTCCCCCCTCCCTTATGAATCTTTGATAATTTATAAATTATTATTTTGTCATATCTTACACTGTCCGACGTCTCCCTTCCCCCACTTTTCTGTTGTAGGGTAGCTGCTTTGTGACCCATCCTGGGAGGCTGAGAGCGAGGGCCATGGCCCTCTGGGCAGGGGGACAAGCATGGGGAAGAGTGGACTGAACTTATTACAACACTTTTGGGGTGGTCAGACTAGGGTGGGAGTTTGGCAGGGGCATGGTGGTTTGATTAATTTTTGGGACATGAGTTGGGCTGAGAGTGGTAGAAGCAGGCTAAGGGAGTGGAGGCAGCATGCTGGAAAGCAGGTGGGTCAGATGGCCCAGTGTCTCCAGGCCTGCTGACATAGCCAATGGGTTCCTCTGAGGCCTAGGTGGGCCTGCAAACAAATGGAGAAATAGAGCCTGTAGTGGGAGGTATGCAGGAGTCAGACTCCCCTGATGCAGAGGAGAGACTCCGTTCACAACTTCTACTCCAGTGATAGAAGTGGTGCCAACACCACTGGAGACCCGCACCTGGTGTGAAGTTGGTGCTCGATAAACATCTAAGACCCAAGTTAGATCCAGGCCCACCATGACTGTATGGAATCATGGCGACCCAACATGACAAAGTAGAACTGCCTCACCGGCTGTCATTCTTTATGGAAGCTGACTGGTGGGTTTGAACAGCTGACCTCCTGGTTAGCAGTGGAGCACTTACCCACTATCTCACCAGGCTCCTTACATGGCTACTGGTAAGCACAAAGCGGGTAGCTGTGATGGGGGTCCAGGACATGA